ATAAAATAAAATAAAGTATATACATATATACAGTAACAGAGTACAAGGCAGGAGGACAAGGCAGGAGACATTTGAGAAACACACTGGTGTTTCGACAAACTGGGCATTGTAGGAGTTAACTAAAACCAGAAGGTTGCAGTCGTGCAACAACAAGGGATGCAAGCTGCCGTTAAACCCCAAAGAAGAGGCGCAAACACATGAAGGAGTAGCAGGCTCAGGACCCCCTTCGTCATCCGCGCCAGCAGGGGCAGTAATGCGTGTTCAAGCCGTTTGCCGCCTGCCCTCCACGAATGCAAGAAAGAGACGAGCCCCCATCGTTACAACGCATGCCCGGACTCAAGGTGAGTTGTTTTCACACAGAGGAGTTTAGTTCTGTAGTTGAACGACGAGTGGAAGAGTCACAACATCCGGTAGGTTCCTGCTCTGTAGTACTAACTGCTGCGATGACAGGTGACGGTCAGACGAAGACAAGTCCTGTTCTTCACACAGCGAGCAGTGCATTAGTGGTTATTCAGTTACACAACGTCCTTATGGTTGTTCAGTCTGTGTGGAGGCTCTGCAGACTTCAGATTCCAGACGAATCCGATCAGGCTGTTCACACTGTTACACACACTTTCTGCGATGCTTCTCCTGACTGTTCATCGTCCACTCCTACAGGAACCTAACCGTACCCTGCCGGTGGACAGACACAACAGGATGGCCAGTGTAAGTCAAGTGTGTGTGTGTTTTTGTAAGGAAGAGAGATGGACTACTATTGATGTGATGTGATGTGATGTGTTGTTACTGTGTTCAGGTGCTGTGCCGTAAAGCCAGGCTGGTCAGTTACCTCCCGGGACTTCACGTGTTGGTGCATCGTGTGGCAGGAGCCAGAGCCTCCTCTGCTGCTGGTTCCTCAGGCTCTGATGAACCACACGTAGCCATCACTCCATCTGATATGGGTAAGTCATCCATGTGTTTGTGTTATATTGCAGGAGTCATTAGAAGGAGCAGATTATGAAATATAAGATGAGAAGGTTGGTAGCATGCTGTATAGACATAAAGTCAGGTAGATTCAAGCAGGAACACAAACATTATTTAACATTAGGTAGCTGGGATTTTTTTCCTGTTATACATTTGCTATGTTGTAGATAAAGCCAGTAAAATTGTGTGAAACATGAATTGTCAAGCATCATATATTAGTCCTGTTGTCCCCTCTCCGGTTCAGGACTGCGGACAGTATGGCCTGATGAGAGCATGGGGCCTTTTGGGCCCCAGGACCAGCGCTTCCAGCTGCCTGGCAATGTGGGCTTTGACTGCCACCTAGAAGGACTTACAAAGCAGAAGGAGATTCTGGCACACAAGATGGTCCCTGACGTGCTGTCTTCACTGTCCAGTAGTGAGAGGCATGAGTTCATACTGGCCCAGGTCATTGTAGACTTTGTAAGTGTAATAATTTGAACATGGGTATTTTTTCTGACCACAGGAAAATGGCAGTTACATGTAACTCACTAGTGAAACTAATTTAACCACAAATGAAAGTACAATTGACAGGAAAACATTTATAACAAATCACCGCTGTGCTCCTCTGGGTAGTGATAAGGAGAGTGACACGGTGTGAGGTGAATTATGTCAGAAAATAATGAAGCAAGAGATGATTCACTGTGCACTCGCCTGTGTAAATGTCTTTCTCTCTCTCTCTCTCTCTCTCTCTCTCTCTCTCTCTCTCTCTCTCTCTCTCTCTCTCTCTGT